TGTTCTACTTCTAAACTAGATTCCTATTCTCAGAAATTATTTGCCAGATGCCTCTCAAAACTCAGATTGCACTGCAGGTGACGTACACCATTCCCTGTCAACTGCCCTGACAAAGTAATGCTCCCAGTGGGAATTGCTCTGCTTATTAGCTCAACCATTGGATGAGCAAGATTTGAACCTGCTTTGCATCAGTTTGGGCCTCCTTACAAAGCTTCACATGCACCTTGAGAGCACATTGCCTGCTGTTTGGAGAAGTATGTACTTAGTTGATGTTTTTCAAAATGCACTCTTATTTCACTGCAAGGAAAAAAGAAGAAACAAAAATAAATGGTTTTCACTTTTCATAACATTTGAAGAAGTCTTTTTGCTTTTGACCCCCTTGAAAGGGTTCCCTAGATCAGGCAGCCTCTTAGGCTTTATGAACCACCCTGGAATTTTGAGAGCATGCCACAGTTGGTCTCAGGAAATGGCTTCCACCTGGGAGTGGGGTGTCACAAAAGACACATTTACCAGATGTGTTATCTATCCAGTCTACCTATGTCTTTTTGTTGGGCAGGTGAAGACCCTAAAAAAAAAAAATGCAAAAAGGTTGGGTCACAGCCACATTTATTTATTTATTTATTTATTTATTTATTTATTTATACATTTATACATCACCCAACTCTATCCTTTAAAATATACATGGGTCCTCTATGCAACCCAGAGACATTTTCATTCATAAGGATGCACTAGAGGCTGCTAAGCAGGCCTCCAAGATGAAGTAGACAGGGCTTCTGGGATTCCTTCCCGTCTCTATTTTCTTCCATGGAAGAAAATAGCCGGTGTGCTTGTTTGTGTTTCTGCTTTCCCCTTGTATGGCATTCCTGTGTGTTTCTGAGTATATGTGCACAAGAAGCCCAAGGTGGGCTTTATACTCTCTACTCTGGGTCTCAGGGTCAGGAGGGAGGAGCTTACAATGGAGGAGTTCCACTGAGATTTTTTTTTCTCCCCAGTGGGAGATTTGGATCTGGCCCTTTTTCGGACTCGTCTTTTTTTTTTCCCCTTGGTTTCTCCTGCAATACCAGATTTGGTCTCCTTCTGTTCAGTTTTGAAGAGTTATCCTGCTGATGGATAGACAGAATCCAGATTCCCTTTACTTTATTTCTTTTCATCATTCTGTTGTGTTGGAAGTAATAGAAATAAAATTAGGTGGATCAGGGAATCTTGTGGGCAAAAAGAGGGAGATCTGCAGAAGCTAGGTTGCCTAGCTTTATCTTATATTGGTATCATTGCTAATACCCTTAGAACAGGAACAGAGTTTATTTTAACATACAACTGGGTGAATTTTTTACAAGTAGAAAAAAGTGTGCAGTGGGAACTAGGTTTTGTGCAGTAGGGAATATGGGGTTTAAAAGAACTATATAAGAACAAATGAAAGAAATAGAAAGTTAAGATTGTTTCTTTCAAACCTTTGTAATTTTATATTACTGGGACCAACTAGTTGATTAAACTAAAATATTTTTAACTGTTTGCGTTGTATATAAACACTAGAAATAGATACATAACAATTATATAACAGTAAACCAATCTCCATTACAGCACCATGTGCCAAAGAAAATAAATCTCAGTTGCACACCATATGTTGTGCCTCACTTTATACTGAAGACATCAACATTTCCTTTGTTTTAAGATGGTTGGCTCATCAGCATTCAGAACTGGGTGGGAGAAACACTGGTACCTGCAAACCTTGAGAAAATTTGTTTCAATCATATCTGTTCTTTTGCTTTTGCTATAGGTTTTTGGGGTCTTATTTAGTTATCTGTAAGAGTATGGATACCCTAGGATCCCATCCAGTGAAGGGTGGTATATTTTGATAACTGAACTAGGAGTTTAGTCTTCTAACTAAATTGAGATGTTTTTTCTGCTTATGAATTTCTACATGTTGCTTGTATTAATAAGACATTCAACATCAGCACTGTGAGATTTGGCTGCAAGGAGACGTGCTGTGAGTGTTGTCACATTTTTATATACACTGGATAATTCAAGAAAATGAACCAAATGGAGTAATGTCATTATGCAAATTTCATTGAGACTGTCATGTTGAAATATCTCCTTGTTGTTTAATGACAGTTCTGCTAAATCAATACCTCTTCCTAGCACCTTGTGAACAACTTCTAGGCTTCTTTGAAGGCTGCAAAGCGCTCCTCTATCTATTCATGTCCTCTGGATTCTTCTCTCACTGTTCCATCTGGCTGTATAATAGTTTAATTTTTTAAATTTGTATTAGAAATTAAAGAAGATGTGTAGACCATTAGTAAAAAGACAAGAACAACAGATAAAAAATAAAGTACAGATGAATAAACAAGACATTTTAAAATATCATGGAAGTTATGGTTTTCATTGATTAGTTAAAAATAACTGAATATATTATGTTGCTTTAAAAGACTAAAAATCATTATTAAGCTCTAAGCTAAGAGTGAATCTCAAGAACCATAATCAGTATAAATCACCATGTAGAATTATAAGTTAAAATAAATTCAATCCATATTATTAAGAAACTGTTCTGATTTAAATATCCTGTACAGTTGAAATATAGTTTCCATACATAGAGAAATCTGAATTATGGTTATGGTACAAATCCATGAATTAAGTTGTAATCTAGGGATGGTTTCCAGTTTGAGTTGAATTCTCTGTCAGATTTACTTTTAAGGTACAAAAGTATTCTAGACATCGAAGCATATTCTCACAACTTGGTTAGCCATTCTTCCATGGAGAAAGAACCTTTTTAGTAAAAGGCATAAAATATCCTTGCAGCAACTAGCATATGCAATGTTAATTCAGTACACCAGAGATACATGGTTTAATAAAGTTTAATAAGAAAATTGAGGCTGAAATGGGAATTCAACTTTTAAGATTTTTTTCATTGTAGTATAAATCATTTTCCAGAATTGAGCTTTAAAACATTGCCACCAATTATGAAAAAAGAGATCTGCTCTGTTGATTACATTTCCAGCAACGTTTAGAGAAAGAATTGTCTGTTTTAGTGGTCAGGATTGGAGTAGTGTGCCAACAATAAGACATCTTGTAGTAGTTTTCTCTAATATCTGAAGTAAATTTAATATTCTTCCATTGGAATTCTCATTGTTGCATCTCCATTACTGCCTTCAAATTCTGCATCCATTTAATCATGCTGTCTGACTTGTTTGAATTCTAAGTCATACTTCACCAACAGTTTATAATAAGACCCAGCAAATATCCTGGGTTACATGTTTTAAGATTTTACAATTCAGTCAAGTCTTTTAGTATTCCCTTTGTTTCTGTAATTCTTTTAATACTATGTTATTTATTTGAAAATACTGGGACCAGGTAGATAGACTGGACCGTTGTGAAATAGGAGTCTCAAAATATTTTAATATTCATCTTATTAATAAATCTAGTTTCATTTTTTAAAATCTTGATCCACCCACTTTGCAAATATTGTTCTTTCAGTAGGAATAGCATTGATGTTATCAGCATGGTCAGCTTCTCTGTATCGTGGATGGCAATTCCATCTCCTTGTAGCTGCTTCGGATATATACGGAAGATTGAAAGTACATCGGCCAGAAAGCACAGAAGTAAGATATTATCTTGATCAAGGAGAATTGCAAAAAAACCAAGTGCTATCTTCTTTTAAGACTTCTTCACGAAGAAGACTATAGACTGCTAAGACGCAAGGACTGAAGGCATGAGTGATAAGGAAATCTTGCCCAGTTTTCCTTTTTTCAGCAGACAGCTCAAAACACAGGATCCTTTTGTGTGGGCTTCTCTTCCTTCTGTTCTGCGATCTTATCCCAACTACAAGAGGAATTACAATGAAGGGTACAAACCTCATATTATGAGTCCCAGGCTCCTTGGGATCTGGCTGCTCTGGTTTGTCTGAATTAGCCCCTTCTTTACCCTTCCTAAGAAATGCAGAATTTTTTTAAATACGCATGTCATGTGACTGGAACTGGAATTCTAGAAACTTCAATTCAGCATGGTCTCTTCAGAACACAACTTCTTTCAGGAACAAGGCAGAATGTTAGGATGTATATACTGGGTTTGGCCAAAGAGCTCAGGACTTGCAGATACACTGAAGATTCAGAGAATATGTTGATGTGAATACTGTATGTGTGTGCATTTTCAGAGAACATTGCCAAAAAGATAAGCGGTACTTATGATCCTGCAGAAGATCCACCTCATTCTGTTTAGTTCCTATGATGAAGTCTGTTCAGTTGTTTGCATTCCCTTGCCTCCAAATCCAGGACTTCTCCCCATATATTAACATGTGCGGTTCTGAGGGATTCCCCACCATTTCCTGGTGAACATATTCCCAAATGTTTTCATTTGTATCTTCATTCTGTGACTTCTTAAAACCTATTATTCCTTTCAGAACCTTCAACATACTTTGTTCGGCAAATATCTAGATACAGAACATTCCACAGAGGATAAATTATAATCGTTCCACCTTTTTGTGGTGAGATAAATGTCATTTAAGAAAGAAACATGACCTACTAAGTATCAGGAACCTTCTTTTTCCTTTCTTCTCTTACATTTCCTGTCCTTCATTTCCTACCTCCTCACTCTGCCTTTTTCTCTTATGTCCTCTATTCATTGTCATGTTAATCTATTTCTGCTATGCTTCCCTCCTCCAATTAGAAAACATTTGGAAGGTGCTCATGACTGGGAAGGAAGACTATCCTCAGCTTTGGGGGCAATTTGGAAAAAGCTTAGAATATATCCTGAACGGTAACATCCTTTTGTTGTGATAAAATAATTATTGGTTGTATGTCTGTTGTGCAGTGCACTGGTGAACTTCAGGAAATATCCTTAATAATATCCAGTGAATGTGGAAAGTGTTTGTTGCTGTCATTCTCATACCATCATAGCGTAAGGGAAATTGAAATATACTATCTTGCTTCCATGGCTTCTTATTAATTCAATACAATCTGTACTACACTATCTTTCCTGCTATAACAGAAGCAGGAAACCTGTAGTAACCTTCTATCAGTTAAAACACAGAACTGGAAACAGAGTTTTTGTTTGTGTTTTCCACGTTTTTGGAAATCCAAAATTGGTGAAGCTGAATATCATTTGAGAGCTCCCTAAAACAGGTACTAACATGGTTACAATTTTCTTGTAGGACTGTTCACAAGATTACATTGTAAAAAATTATTTCTACTACTACCTGTTCCAAGTTTCTGCTGCGATGGGCCAAGAAATTTTCTACATCACATTTCTTCCATTCACTTACTGGATCATTAACCCCTATGTTTCAAGAAGACTAATAATTATGTGGCCTGTAAGTATTACTAACATTATTCACAACTTAATGTATTATTACTAACTTTATCTATCTATCTGGTTGTAAATTAAACCATGTAAAGCTGCATCATCTTTTTTTTTAATATAAATTTTACTATGTTTTCAAAAAAAGTTAAAATCAAGAAAAATCAAGAAAAAGGAAAAAATAAAAAATAAAAAAAGCATAGAAAAGAAAGAGTAGCTTCCGACTTTCCTTGGTACAGGTATAGATGTAGAATATATTCACCTCTTACTCTAATATCTACAAGTTCACATAATAAAAAATACTTTTTAATCTAATATTCAAGAAAATTCCTAAAATCATTCTATTTCAATGATACATGTGATTTGTACAAGATATTTCTAAAAGTATAACATCAATCATCAAATCTCAAAATCAAAATTGCATTTTTTTGAGTGTCAAACAAAAAGTCCAAGAGTGGTTTCCAATTACAAAGCTAGGCAGTGCCCTCTCTCTGAGCAAAGTAGTCAGTTTCACCATCTCCACCAGTTCCATTAATTTCAATATCCATTCTTCAGCTGTAGATATTTGTAAATCCTTCCATTTTTGTGCATATAAAAGTCTTGCTGCAGTTATCGTATAAAGAAATAAATTTCCGTGTTGTCTTTCCATTTGTTTATCCGTCATACTTAAAAGGAAAGTCTCTGGTTTCAATTGCAGGTCTGATTCCAAAATCTTTTGAATCAAAATACGTATCATATTCCAGTATTTCTTAGCCTTTTCACAAGTCCACCATAAGTGATAGAATGTACCTTCATACTGAATACATTTCCAACAAACACCTGAAATTCCTTAATACATCTTTGACAATTTATCTGGGGTCAAATACCAATGGTACATCATTTTATAAAAAAATTCTTTTAACCTATAATTAAGAGTGAGCTTTAACCCATTATTTCATATATGCATCAACTGCTTCTATGCTCAGCTCTCCCCATTTGGACTGAGGCAATAAGACTCTTGGTATAGAACTCACAAACAGTGTTATAAACTATTGGTTTCCAGAAGGGTTCATGCCTGATGGAACTTGCATCTCTTCTGAGTTAGGATGCTATCTTCCACATGCTTATAAATGGGATGGTGGGATGATCCAGCCACATAAGAGGGTACCAATAGAAGTGAATATGTGTAGCTAAGGGTGGAACTGTGGAGTCCTGGGGTTCTCTGAGCTTGACTATTTTCTTGCAAACGTTTCATTACCCGGCTCAGTAACCTCTTCAGTGCTAGAATGGAATGGGGTTTGCTCTCTGTTTATATACTGTGGCATGTCCTGCCAGTGTTGGTGGGGGTGTGGGTTTTGTTTTGTTTTATTTTTTCCTCTGGTAGTTCCTTGAATAAAGTATTGTTTACTGCTTGTATGTCTGGTGGTAATCTTGGTGTTAATCTCTGCTTATCTGGGTGATGATTACTGAATATTTGGTATTCAGACAAGGCAGCCATCAACCGGCACACAGAGATAAACAACATCTACACGCTATTCAAAAGTGACAATAGAAAGGAAAACAAAACACCAGAACATCTCCTCACCAGCAATTATCAC